AGAGTATGATCTAAAAATGATAAATATCTTCTAATTTCTTTGAGGACCCTTTTGCCTACCCCCTCAGATTACAGGAAACATGACTGCATACTTTTTCAGCAAGATATTTTAGCACAGCCACTTTTGCAAGTGGAGAATGGCCCTGCATGTGACATCCACGCGTGACAGCTTACCCACAGCATTGTAGAGAGGCTCTCCAGTTAACTTGTCCCAGACTACAGTGGTTTCCCTCTGGTTGCTGACACCAATAGCTTTAAACAGAAAGGAGTAAAAAATTAAAAAGTAGAAAACTATTTCAGGAGAACAGCGCTCATCTTTTTCACAGACACAACTAAACATAACAATTTTTAAAAAATTTTGGAACACTGATAGTGATATTTTAGTAGTTTGAGTGGCCCAAGGAAAAGTGAACACCCGATTTCAAATGTTTCTTTTTAGATCTACATACTCCATCCCTCTTCACTACCAGCACAGAGACCTGGATGCAGATCAAGGCCCAGATGAAAGTCTCCCACATTGCCTTAAGGAATGCAGCAACTTTCTAAATTTATACTACCTAATTCATCCTTTTGAGCATGTCAACAATCACCTCTTTCATTTATTTACCAATTGCAACAAGAAATGTCCCTCCCTGTATGCACGTGTACTCACATGTGCATCTGTGTCTCAAGAAAATAGCTATGAACAAGATCTTGTATGCTGAACAAACCTCAGAATTGTTTAGAAATTTGGTTTTATTGAGACCAGCAGGTGGCGTGGTGGTTAAGGTGCTGGACACTCCCACATCGTTGAAAAAGTTCAAATCCTACACCTGGTAGCTTGCTCTCTCACTTTCTCTCTCTCTCTTGTGTGTCTCTCTCTGGTCAAATTAAAATAAATAAATGAACAAATTTTAAAAATTAAATAAAATAAATCTTTAAAAAAAAGAAAAGAAATTTGGTTTTGTTTTCATACACACACACAAACATACACACATTTTTTTTCAGAGAGATAAATTTTTGCGAGAAGACATGCTCTCACCAGAGAGACAGAGAGAGAGAGAAAGCAAGAAATCATCCCTCAGGGCGGATGGCCACTCTACAATCCCTTCTTCTCTAGGCTCCTTTCACATGTACCCAGCATGAGTTTTTAAGCTGCTGGGTCTGATACTCGAACCTTGGTCAACTACATGGGAGTCCAGCAATGTAACCATCTGCTGGTCCCTTTATTTATCTTTATTTTGATAATATGTCATAATACATAAGAGTTTGAGTCAGAGTCAGATATAAATACAATAGGTAATGGCATTCATATTATACTGACCTACATACAATTCAAGTGCTTTGTTTTATGAGAAGTTACTCTATGTAAAATACTAATCCATACCATCTTACTCAATTCATCTTGGTTGAACTAAATCAGAGGTTCTCAGACTAGGGAGCTTTAAAACAAAAATCAGTGGCCAAACCTTGGTCAAAAGATTTAACTCACCTGGACTGGAATCTGAGCATTGGCATTGCTTCCTAAAACTTCTAGATGATTCTAATGTGCACCTTGAATAGAATATACTGAGATAAAGGAATTTAAGATTGAGATAGATCTTGGGGGACCAGCAGTTGGAGTAATGGCTATGTCGCTGGACTCCCATGTAGTTGACCGTGGTTCGAGTCCTGGACCCGGTGGCTTAAACTCACGCCGGGCATGTGTGCATGTGTGTCCAAGATCCCGAGAGGAGAATGGAGAAGGGATTGCGGCGTGGCCATCCCCCCTGGGGGTGATTTCTCAATTTCTGTCTCTCTGTCTCTCTCTGTCTGTCTGGCAAGCGCATGTGCCCTATAGAAAAAAAAAAAAAAAAAAAAAAAATGAAATTGAGATAGATCTTAAAGGCCATAAAAATCAACTAACACTTCTTACACTCAAATGTCTTCTAAAATCACCTTACATATGACCAGCCAGACAACACTTCCATTGACAAGATACTCATTATATTTCTCAAGGCAAACCAATGTCTACTGAATAACTCTAGGATTAAAAAAACAAAAAATCGAATAACTCTAGGATTAAAAAAAAAAAAAAATACAGCCCTGGAGTGTAGCAATTAAGTGCCATGAGTAGGGAGCTGGCAAACTTTGTTTAGAATCTTGGACCTAGAGGCTTAAAAAAAAATGCTGGGAGCCAGTGCGTGTGTACCCAGAATCCTCGTGGGAAGGAGGAATGGAGGAAAGGGGATTGTAGCATGACAGGGCCCCACTGGGGAACACTTTCCCTCTCTCTCTAGCTCATCTATATATCTTTTAGAATTAGGAAAAAAAAAGTTTTTCCTAGGAGCTTCCACCTACAGATTTCAGTCATATTTTCAGAGATAAATAGAATACATTCCAGTCTTGGGGGTCAGCAGGTGGCGTGGTGGATGAGGTACTGGACTCCCACATGGCCGGCCACGGTTTGAGTCCCGGATCTGGTGGCTTGCTTTCTCACTTTCCCTCTCTCTCTCTGGTCAAATTAAAATAAATGATGAATAAATAAAATGAAATAAAATAATTTAAAAAATAATAATGATAAAGTTGAATAAATAAGTCTTTAAAAAAATACAGCCCAGTCTTTCAAAAACTAGAAATACCTATTTAGTCTCTCAAGTCTTCTCTTCCACTGCCTAAGCTAACCAGTCTGATTTCTTTCTTTTTTTATTTTAAAATTTGTTTATTTATTTTCTAAAATTCAATTTGTTATTATTATTATCTTTAATTTGACCTGAGAGAGACACAGAGAGAGACAGAAATATAAAGCAAGAAAGCAAGCTGCCAGGTCTGGGACTTGAACCTCGGCTAGCCATGTGGGAGTCCAGCACCTTAACCACCATACCACCTGCTGGCCCCAACCAGTCTGATTCCTATTAATGTCCCTCATTTGTATGGCATGGCTTAATGTCCCTTTACCACTACTAGGAACATGCAGCTATCTGCCCATATCATTCAAATGGCATACCCAGAATCAGACACAGTACTCTGGGAGTGTTCTGACTAGCACAGAGCTGAGAGGCCCTATCAGTTCTCTTCTTCTAACTACTATTTATCCAGTACAGATTTACTTCACTTTATTTAACACTTCATTTAGAAATACAAAGATGATTCATATTCAACTGTAAAGAAACTTAGAGGCAGAGGGTAAAGGCAATAAATTTTTGGCTTTGTTTTTAAAAGTAGAAGACAAGGGGTTGGCAGGTAGTGTGATGGTTAAGGGTGTGATTGACCACTGTTTGAGTCCCGGGCCTGGTGGTTTGCTTTCTCACTTTTTCTCTTTATCTCTCTCACTCTATCCCTCTCTAGTTAAATTTAAATAAATGGATAAATAAAGCTAAGTAAAAAATACTTACTAAAAAAAACCAGAAGATAAAAATGGTTGTAGAAATAAAGAGAAAGGATGGACCAGCAGGTGGTGTGGTTGCTAAGGGCACTGGACTTCCACATGGTTGACTGCAGTTCAAGTCTCGTACAAGGAGGCTTGCTTTCTCACTTTCCCTATCTCGCCCTCTGGTCAAATTTAAATAAATAAATAAGTAAAGTTAAATAAAACAATTCTTTTAAAAAGAAAAAAAAGGAATAAAGATAAAGAATATGGAGGTGGGGCTGGGGATCAATGAGACATGGTCCTGATGCTAGTTAGTGAAAGGAGGGGATGGGATTAATAGTCCAAGGGAAGGAAGGAGCCCCAGGTAGAAGAGAAGTCCATTGTTTCCCTTGCAGTGGAAGAAAGGAGATAGGAGATCCAGGTATTAAGTACAGGAACCAGAAGTTGAGAAATTAAGGCCTCAGAGTCTCAACTTCCTCTGTAAAGTTACCGGGCAAACTTATTTGCTAAAATGGAGCCAAGAAAAGTAGAATCAATCATTTGGAGGCACTATTCAGTAGAGTTCAGGCTCTGAAATTAGATGGTGGGGTTCAAATTCTAATTCCTCTGCCTCCTTACAGCGTCACTTTAGGTCTCAGTTTTCAGTGAAGAGAGTAATAGTTCCCAGCTTACAGAGTTACAATGAGGAATGTCTTGCACATAAGCACTCAATGTTACTTAATGCTGTTGCGATTGTCATGGTTATTATTTTTAATGCTATAGGGTATGTGCAAAAGAGAGAAGAGGGAAGTATTTCCCAAACAGTGGACCTGGTCATGTATCAACCCTTTTCCCCCCAATTTTCCATCCCATTAGGATCCTGGGCACAGAATGTTTTTCAAGCTGACGGTGCCAGGACTCTAACTGTGGTCAGCCATGTGGGATCTGGCTTCCTCTGTGCAACACCCAACCTGTGCTCTAGGGGGACAGCCTATCATGGTTATTACTAAGACAGCAGAGAAATAGTTGCAGAGAATGGGATGGAACTCAGCAGATATATAAAGGAATTCCCCAGCAGTCTATGGATGCAATAGTGGGACCTTAGCCATGGTTTCCAAGGTGACATGTTGTGAACATGATGCCTTAGGGACAGCTTTACAATGTGGGACCACAGTGAACTCATGGTCACCTAAAATCTCTTATTCCTCTTCACTACATTAATTTTCCCAGAAACAAGATGGCTGCTCCCTTAGCTGCGATCTTTAGGCCACTATTCTATGCCCCTTGAGTTACCTTTGTTTACTGGCTCATTCTAACTTGTGTTCAGAACTAACCTAGAGCTGTTTTGATCTAATTCTTTGGTCATGGGTTTCTCTCTGACATCTCCTTTTCGCTGTACTTTAACACTAGTCTTTCATGCCAAGTAAAATTGCTTCCCTTGCAGGCAAAGTCCAGTGAAATAGCTTCTCAGGATTCTCTTTCAGCCACGAATTATTACCCCTCTCTCCCTTCTCCCTAGGGCACACAGGTCTTATGCAACGCCTCTGACCTTTTCATGTTCTTCTTGTCATTGTTACCCTAAAATCCTGGTTAGTGACTTTTGATTTTTGCCATAGGGTGTATGTACTCCTCAGAGAGAGATAGAGACAGAGAGAGGGAGAGTGAGAAATCACCCCAGGGGGAGGGGATAGCCACACCACAGCCACTTCTCCTCCATTCTCTTCTCAGGATTTTGGGCATATACACACATGTGATTGGTGTGATTTTCAAGCCACCAGGTCTGGGACTTGAACCATAGTCAGCAATATGAGAATCCAGCGTCTTAACCACCACACCACCTGCTGGTCCCCCAATCCTGTTTTTAATGGAAAACTTTTCTGACTGAATCCCAGCACATGTGCCATCTTTCTCTTTTCATTTATTTATATTTTTGTTTTATTTTTAT